CTTCCCACTTATAACAAGAAGCCAAGTTTTTACCTTTTATTAAAAAACAACAGGTTTCTCAATGGCCATTTGTTGATTCCATAAGGAAGGAGAGTGAACTTTCCCTTTCAGCACTCAATTTTGCCGCTTGAAATCCTCCTCTGGAAACGAAGTATTATTCAGAAAACCATAGTTCTCAGGATTAAACGCCTCTTAAAATCCTGGGTCAGCCACAAAAACTTTCTCTTAACAACTTTCTCCTCTCTTCCTCCTGCTCAGTCTTACCCAGCTGCCGACTTCTTTGAGGCGGCCATTACAGACCGCCGCTCGACCGTCTTGGGAGAGGGGGGTTTTGCCGGCTGGGAAGGGGGTCTGCAACACCCCCAAACCCCTCACCAGCTCCCCCCTATCTTCGGCTGCCTCTTCGTGGCAGCCTTAGCCTCCAGATCCGTGGATCGGAGGCACCAAAGCGGCTAGCGCGGCAGGGATCGCGCAGGATCGCAAATCCCTGCCGCTAGCGAAGCCGACAAACCGGAAGTTCAGGGGGGGCATTTTCATCCTCGCCGGGCTCCAGAGGCGTTCCTTGAGCCTCCAGGAGGCCAGAAGCAGGCCCATTTTTGCCCTCTACGAGCCTCTGGGAGACCTGTTTTCCACCTGCCTGAACTTACTTGGGATCCAAAACAGGCCACGTTGGGACTCCTGGGAGGGGAGGGAACGGGCGGGGTCAGCTGGTCATCGGAATTACCATTTCGCCAAACCATACGTAAAATTAACATCCAGTTTGCCCAAACTGGCTGAAATCCCACCCCTGGTCTAACATGGCCGTAGATCTTGGTTTGGGTGGAAAAAACAATTCGTGCAGTTGTTTCAGATCTAGTTGCTGAGTTGGATATATTTTGCAGGGCCAACTGAAAATCCAGGCCAAATGATTTGTTCAGTTCTGTGTATGAGTGGAGTTTGTAGAAAATTCTTAGCTAAACACAGTCACTTGGGGGTAATGATAAAGTTCACTACTCAGAAAAACTGTAAAATCTTGCGTAAAGTGACTCGTGTGTTTGTCCCAAAGGGGCTCTTTCAAAAGGCAACTGGACTTTGTTTTTCTATGAAGATATTTCCCTTCTCGTCCAAAAAGCTTCTTCAGTTCTTCACATCAGAACTGAAGAAGCTTCTTGGATGAGAAGCGAAACATCTTCAAAGAAAAACCAGAAAGTCCGGTTGTCTCTTGAAAAAAGCACCTTTGAGGCAACCATGACCTGCATGAATGAGAATCTCCATGGACATGAATGTATTTACTACACTATTAGTAGAGAAAGGGTCTTGTAAGATTTTCAGTTTCCAGCTGGCCGTTCCTCTTCTGATAATTATTTCCCCAAGGCTAGGATTGATCTAGGAATTCAGACAAATTTTCAAGTGAAGAAAAAGAACTTTTGGTTCTCTTTTTATTGAATAAGATTATACCGAACTGGGAGAATTGGCCCCTAGATCACCGTTACAGCCAGTTTGCGAAGACGGACCATTCGGAGCAACCAAAGAAGACAGAAAAAAGACACCCAAGGAGTTGAGGGAGCTTTGGAAAAAAGCTATTCTCCAGCACATCCTTCTTCTTAGGATGGAAAAGGAAAATCAGAAACTGCAAGGTAAATACCAAATCTCTCCGAAAAAATTCTACCGTGTTTCCCCAAAAATAAGACCCTGTCTCATATATTTTTGCCACCAAAAAAGGCACCAGGTCTTACTTTCAGGTGATGTCATCCACTGACTAGCCTCACTTGCGCACGTCGCCCCCGGCCTCCTTTTCGTTGTCAGAGGCCTTCAGGAACTTCTTCTTCTGCGGCCGGCAAGGCTTTCCTGAAGGCCTCTGCAGCTGATAACAGAGCTCTGGATCGATCCGGAGCTTTGTTATCAGCTATAGAGGCCTTGAGGAAAGCCCTTACCAGCCTTGCTGGCTGCAGAAGAAATGCCTGGTAAGGCAGGTGTCGGAGTGTGCCGGGCCTGGCTACAACTGTCCAAAGGTAAGTAGTAAGGCAGCTCCACCCTCCTATTCCCCACCCTAGCTTAATTTTTACTGATCCACTCTGGAGTGGGTGGAATCTTAATTAGGGCTTATTTTGGGGGGTAGGGCTTGTATTGCGCACACGTGTAAAAATCAAGCTAGAACTTACTTTCAGGGTAGGTCATATTTTGGGGAAAGAGGGTATTTAGTTGGATAATGAACGATCTGCAAGAAAGCAACCAAGTTCAGAGAGCACCAAGGAGCCCTCATTTCAACCCTGAGCTACAAAGAGTCTCACCTATTTATCTTGCTTTTTTAAAATCAATCAAAGCCATCCAGGCTTTTTCCTCCACATATATTAAGATGTTTCAGGTGTTGTATAATTGATTCTGTAACAGCATCCAAAGTTGGTTCCATGCTGCTATTTTCTTGGTTCAGATGGAAGGAAAACGGGGATCTTCATACTTGGATAGTTCTTAGAGGCTGCAGCAGGTACAAGAAAGAAGAGAAGGGTTGTCTTGAGACTAAGCGTCCCAAGGCTGGAAGGGAACTTGGAGGTTTTCTAGTCCACCCCTCTGCCCTGCTGTCTTGGGTGCAACGTAGGGAAAGCCTTGCCTAGGCTATTTCTTGTGTCTAAATCGTGAACCAAGGTCGCTTCTGCTCTCAGTCCTGGCCCCAAAGCTCCCTCCATTGCATATCTGAACAAGGAGGGATGTTTGAAACAAAAACAATATTTCATCCGTATGTTTAATAATTATTACAAAATGGTTGTACATGATGCCTGATTTACTGAATTGTTGTAGGCCACCCAGAGTTGCTTTATAAATTATATAGTGGCTATATAAATTAGATAGA